CATTTGGTTCTTTTATTTCGTTTTGCTCAATAAGAAGTCACAAGTAGTCGTCTGCTATTGGATTATTTACATTTTAACATGCGCATAAATATTTACCTATTTACTTAAGTACCTGCTTACTTGATTGGTAATCTTTATCCACTCCCTTGCTTAGGTGCTCAGTTTTTTGTTGATGTATTGGTTTATATATTTACTTGCGTTCAGAAATTGTCTGCGTTCTTACGTACTTATTTTTGTTCTTATATACTTATCTATATACTTGGTTACTCATTACTTACTTAATATCAGGCGATCTAGATTTTGGGTGGAGTGAACCTTGTTTATCATGACTTTTGTATATTGTGTTTGGCAGTCGGTGGGTGGTAATGTTTACCAGTTTACCGTTATGCCTGCAGCGGCATGAGACTGCCGTTGATTGCTGCACAATGCGACAGCAACAGCGGCCCACCCGGAAGAGGGCGAAACAAGATACCTCCCATGGCGACGTTGCTTTGGCATTTGTCTCGTACGTTGTCGACTGTGGCTTACTTGTTTTTTGCGATGTTTAGCGATGCCGAGGCGTTGTCAGAGGCATTCAGCGAATGCGCTACTTGCTCTGTGCCTCCTTGTTATTTGCGTGAGAGTGCGGCTTGAGAGTGTTTTGGTCTATTGAGGCAAACGAATTAGTCCTCGTTTTGTATTGTGTACATTCGAGCTGTTTGTGTATTTTACCGAGTTGTCGCTTTACCTTAAATCATATTTGTATACTTCGAATTCCTACGGTTGACCAGATTATATCCGATTAGTTTGTTGTACTGTTCCAAAGAAGAGGTATTCGAAGTAGATGCAAAAATGAAGGAAGAAACACACACTGCTGGCGAGTACGAGTCGGGTTAGCGCGAGCGCGGCAAAAACTGGCACTCTGTGTTTGTTTGCTGTAATGTTTTTATTTGCAGGCCGGTTTTGCGGGTAGGTGCGTTTTTTGTCATGGCTTGTCAACGCCCTGGTTTGCCGTTGCTGAGGTCCCCGCCTTCTTGATTGGTGACAACGCCTCCTTTGAACGACGACTACGAACAAATTGTCGCGTCGCGTCGTGTCGCGTCGCGCCGTGTCGCGTCGCGCCGTGTCGCCTGATGTCGCCGGCCGCACCCG